CTGTATTAATAATTGTTGTTGTGCTTGCTTACAGGAAGAAGCTGAAAAGTTGTACATTGGCTGTGAACGATTTGATCTCTTAAACAAATTTTATCAAGCAAATAATCAATGGACTAAAGTAATGAATACATCTCATTTGTAACGATGATTGATTCACTTTTTGTTTGATCAATCRATGATTGATTGATTGATTGACAGCTTTCTATAACTATATATTGTTTTGATTTTTCCCAGGCYGTTGAAGTRGCTGAACTCCAAGATCGTATTCACCTGAGAACCACTTACTATAACTATGCCAAGCACCTTGAGATAACAGGCAATATATCTGGCGCTATAAACAAGTAATGTTTCCTTATTGCACTTTTAGCGTTATAGCCTATGCCAATAAATTAGGCACGAATACACTTGAATTTTACTCTTTTTGTCAAGTTTCCATCTATTTCATCATTTGGTCTTTTTGCGTTTTTGTTAGCTTATCGTTGTTGTTTTTTTTTTCGGTACCATTTATTCATGCTCATTCATTTATGCAGTCATTTGTTTATTTTGTTTTTGGATTGATGAAGCTCCACCTTAATTGTAGTAATATTATTACACTTTTTAGCTACGAAAAGTCTGAAACACAACGCTTTGAGGTTCCTCGAATGCTTCTCGATGAACCGCAACAACTTGAGTCCTACATTCTAAAACACAAAGACAAGTAAGCGTTTTCCTTCAGTTAACATAGTTTTAGTTTTGTTTAACCAAATTGTTTAATAATCTTTAGGGAGCTGCGTAAATGGTGGGCACAATACATGGAAAGTACAAGTGAAATGGAGACTGCACTACAGTTTTATGAGGCTGCACGCGATAACCTATCCCTTGTTCGTGTTTATTGTTACTGCGGTAATCTAGAAAAGGTAAAACCATTAAACCGGGATTTTTTTTGGTTGTTAGTATGTTGGTTTGTCATTGCTTTCTTGACAATGCTCTTTCCAATAGGCAGCTGAAATCTGCAATGAAACCGGTGATCGTGCCGCGTGTTATCATTTGGCTCGTCAGTTTGAAAACCAGGTAAAATTATCTTTTGGCTGCTTGTCCAATTAACGCAATTAACAAAATGGACAATTCTTCTCTGGAAAAGGGGTGCACCCCTTTTACAAGTCGTAACCAGTTTTTCGCGAAAATCCTAAAGATTAGATCATTGCGATTTTAAATTTCGCAAAAGTTTTAGTTTTATTGCAGTCCCTGATGTAAAAAGGGTTTATGCTCATTATTATTTTTTTTTATCTGTGTTAGGAAAACATAAAGGACGCCATTCATTTCTACACTAGGGCGCAGTGTTACAGTAATGCAATACGACTTGCCAAGGTTTGTCGAAAACGATATATTTTTCGTTGGCTACTTTTATTTAAAAAACTCCCATATTTTATAGGAGCATGGTTTGGATAACGAGCTAATGAACTTAGCTTTACTTAGTTCGTCGAAAGACATGCTTGACGTAGCAAGGTAACTGTTTATTTACATCACTGCATGTGAAATTTATAGCACAGGGAACCCAAACAAGAAGTATCCTAGATTATCAAGTACATCCTCTTTCTCAAAAAAATATACATGAAAAAACAAAGCTTTGAACATTTGCGGTTTCGTTTCGCTATTTAATAAAAAGGAGTAACGAATCCGAATCGAAATTGTGCGGTTTTCCTAGTTGAAACTCTGGTTTAAAACGGTGTTGAATCCTAAACTGATTTTTTATTTTTTTCACAAAAATAATGTTTAGTACTAAAAATTAATTAGAGTTTAAAAAAAGGGTTTCTCGTTTTTTAAGCGAAAAAGAAAAGAAAGAAAAAAATTCTAGCAGAGCGAGGTTTCGATCCTCGGACCTCTGGGTTATGGGCCCAGCACGCTTCCACTGCGCCACTCTGCTATTGACATGAAAATCGGGTCTTTTATTCATTAAATATACCATTCATTCTATAGAATCGTTGAATCATTCATGATTTTTGTTGTGGTCGTTGCTTGAATATAAATTTCAAATCTTCAGAATCTTATTTCTGTCTTAATAGCTGCTGCAATATAATAAACATGTTCTTTTAAGGAGCTCAAATTATGCTTAAACGTAACTTAATATAAATGTTGCATCATCACCGGACCGACAGAATATCAATGACTAAAGTAGCCAAAACCCAAGTATATTTTTTCTGTACAATACCGATGCGAAGGTCCTACATTAAGTAAAAATCTTCAGGATTACATGTAAAAGATCGTATATTATTATTGCAATATTTCGATAGCTGTCGTTGGGCTTCCTGTGGAGTAAGATTGAGAATTTACATATTTTAATGAATTTGTATTAAAACCGTTCTTTATTTATTAGATATTATGAGGGCATTCCTAACATGCAAGATAAGGCTGTCATGCTCTATCATAAGGTATTAAAAAAAACAAATTTCTTTGATTGTTAATAATTTGATGATAATTAATAATTTTTATATTCTTTTGTTCACTTGTTCATTTATTCATTGTTTGACACTGTTGGTCTACAGGGTGGTAATGTCACCAAAGCCCTTGAGCTTTGTTTCCATACCCAACAATTTGCTGCACTTCAAGTGATAGCAGAGGACTTGGACGAGAACACCGACCCTGAAATGATTGATAAATGTGCTGAGTTTTTCATGGAACATGGACAGTATGACAAAGCAGTTGATCTATTCATTGTTGGCAAAAAGGTAAAACTATGAACTTAAGCTACTGTTACTGCCMCAACCTCTTTCTTCCTTTGCTTTTCCCTTACAATGATGAAAATAAATTTATAGTTTTTTGAATACTAAAAATAAATATCTGAWTTAGTTCCCTCAGGCGCTTGAACTCTGCTTGGCWCATAATGTAACAATAACTGAAGAACTGGCTGAAAAAATGACTTTACCAAAGGGCGAAGAAAACAGAACAACCATGCTGGAACGAATCGCAGAATGTGCCATGCAGCAAGGCTCCTATCATTTAGCTACTAAGAAATTTACTCAAGCTGGTAACAAAATGAAAGTATGTAGTATTCAAAATCTCATTTGACATTTTATTTGTACTGTATGTTTGTTTGTTTGCTTATTTGTGCATTCTGAAGTATCCATGGTGACTGCTCAACTAACATTAATGTCTTTTTTTTAGTAGTGATCATTAAAAATTGAAGAATACATCTTTTCATATTATGCATTTAAATAATGTTTTTAATTTTTTAGGCGATGAAAGCACTTTTGAAGTCCGGGGACACTGAGAAGATTATTTTCTTTGCCGGCGTCTCCAGGCAACGTGAGATTTACGTCATGGCTGCCAACTATCTCCAGTCCCTTGACTGGCGTAAGGATCCAGAAATAATGAAGAATATAATAGGGTTTTACACTAAAGGACGTGCACTTGATTTACTGGCTGGTTTTTATGACGCATGCGCACAAGTAAGTATCTAGCGGGAGGCAGGGAGATGCAACACCCTTAAACTTTTCTTCTTGGTGTAGTAATACATAAATTCCACTTTTAAGACGCGAAGTAAATAATGTTGAAAAATATTCGTATAGGATCCCTCACCGTTTTCTTTTCCTAACGGAAATAGGAAGACACATCGTCTCAACTCACTATGACATGATTTGTGATTTTTAGGTTGAAATTGACGAGTACCAGAACTACGATAAAGCCCTTGGTGCACTCGGCGAGGCGTACAAGTGCATTGCTAAAGCTAAAATGAAAAATGTTATTGAACAAGAAGAGAAAATTAACTTTTTAAAATCAAGAATAGGATTGGTGAAGAAGTTYGTACAAGCTAGAAGGTGATTTGACACAAACTGATTGGTCTGGTTATTGACACGCACCGTTATAGTTATTTTGTTTGTTGATAAACAGAGCTTACGAGGAAAATCCCGAAGAAGCCATTAAAGGTTGCCAGCTTCTTCTTGAAGAGCCTGACTTAGAAACAGCTGTACGGATAGGGGATGTTTATGGTTTAATCATCGAGTATTATGCCCGTCAACAAAATCATTCTAAGGTATGCTGCTATGATACGTTGTCAGGAGCCCGCTCCTGATGTGGTATGGTACTTCATCTGGCGTACTTGGGTTGTGTGGTGAGGTATGTTAGTATGATTTAGTTACTAACGTCACCCTTTTTTATACCAGGCCTACTCTTTCATGGAAGACATGCGTCAGCGTGTACCGACTGTAAATATGGCTTATTACGTGAACATGAAAACGATTGAAGCAGTCCATAAATCCTTAGGGATACCCCTTGGGCGTGGCATGGGTGCAGAGAGGGAAATTAAGGCTGGTTTGGACGAAGATGAAGGAGARGAAGTCGAAGAAGAAGTCGAGGAAGAAATTTTTAATGGACACGATGGCTATTGATGTTAMTTTATGTAAAAAGCGATAGAACTGGTTCACGCGAATGACTCGTACTACTTCGACAAAAATTTAACAAAAAGTATTTCACAGTTTCTTTTCGTATTGTACACACCTATGAACCTCAACTGCTACAAGGCTTCATACAGCTGAACACCTAAATCCTTAATGCCAGAAATCTCGTAACCTAGAAGAGTAGACTAAATAGCATTATCGTCCTCGTGTGAACCAGCCAACATAATATTTATCAAAATAAACTTATTAGTAATGAACCAGAGAACAATATAGTTGTATTCTAAGGTGGACATCGCTAAAGATAGTTTTGCTTATGTCGTCATGTTTTAATTTCGTTTAACAGTAGTTTTGTACTAAAATAACCTCCTTGTAAAATAGCATGAAGTTTCATCTAGGTACAGACTCCCGATGTACTCGTCGATTATAGATTGCCGCACCATAGCCATGTGGCTCGAGTGACTCGAGTATAACTCAACCTTGTCACTAAAGCTTCTGTGATTTTGTGAATAAATAAAGCATTAGACAGCCAATATGACATTTATGTTTTAGAATTCACACTTCCCGGGAAACCAAATTGGGGTTAATCACTTGTTCAAGGCTTCCGTGGAGTCTTATGGGGCGCGCGTCTGCACTGAGGGCACATTGATTGGGCTTCCTGTTTTCAATAGTAGTTACCAGTCTTTCACATTTTATCGGAAGGAAGATGGCGGATAAATTTAAAATGATTCACAGGGGAAAGCCAATATGTTTTCATAAGTGAAAGCTTCTCGTGTTTATGGAATCCTTCGAGGAATATTTCAGGTTATCATCCAGATAAATCTCTGGTTTCTTTTTTCATAAACAAACGTATTTTCTCTTACTCATGCAGCTCCCAGGAACTCCAACAGCTTAGGCAACAACAACCTCAGAATCTACCACAACTCAGAGGAGCAAAGCAAAATGCTCCCGATGTAAATAACATTGAGAGCCAGCAAAGAGAAATACAGGAAATTATATATGGACACATTGGAGTTTTGAAAGAAGAAAGGATTATCAGGAAGTGCGTTGTTTGTTTCATCATAGTCTTCATTTCCAATATTTCATCTTATTTATGCCGTCTTAATTGAGTCATTCAGTGGGCCATTGATGTATTTATGATTGAATTTTATCATTCATCCATTTATCATTTCATATCTTCATCCATTCCTTCATTTATTTACCCATCGTTTTCATTCATTCTTGCTATATTTGCGATACATTGCCCTGTGATGATAACAAAATGTTTAGTGTTGATTTGTTATTTTAGGGGAATTATCTCTACAGCATCATGGGACAGTGATAATTCTTATTCAGTAGTTACATCACAAAAGGTAGATTGTTCAGTTTTTTATTCATTAAAAAAAACATATAAAACTATATTTTTTTATAATTTCAAATCAATTACACCCTTTTCTTATTAGGGAAGTTACTGGAATTATTTTGGGAAGAGATGTCAAGACAAGATGATTTTAAATGTAGAAGAGACTCTTTTCCTTGTTGAGCAGGTGATATCAAAATAGAAATATTTATGCTGTTGTAACACAGTTATGTAAATGGTTGTTTTAAACAGGGCTGCTTAGAGTTATATCATGGTGGTATTCCTATGTCAGTACAACAGGTAAACTATTAATTTAAAAAGATTTTTGCTTAAAGGGACACTGTCAATGGATGACATGCGCAGTAACAGTCTCGCCTCTAACGGACTTTGAAAGTATTATCTTCGAGGTAAATCATTTTGTGGTGCTTTTGACACACTTTGGAATATTCTAGATCTGTTTACGTTTACAAGCTGATTTATGTCGCACCAACTTGGAGTCATAAACTTGAAAACATTAGCCTAATGTTTTCAAGTTTACTTGCGCATGCATGCCATTGACAGTGTCCCTTTAAGATTAATTCATATCTTTTTATATGATAAACAATGTCATTGAATGAAAATGAAAGTGGGAATTCCAGGGTAAAATGGATAGCAGTAGTAGAGGTACAGAAAGTATATTTTTTTCTTTATTTTGTTTTGATGATATTGAATTTTATATTTTCAGACATTCTCTAATCTGATCCCATGTTTAGTAAAGATGTCTTTTAATCACTATTTGGTAAGAAAAAAATATATTCAAATCCTTGGGAATGGGTAGAGGACACTATATTTACCAAAGTCTTACCATAAAAAAATGAGCATCTTACTTTGTCATCATTTGATGATTGAATTTTCTATTAGTAACTCTTGTATCAAACATTTATTATGGAATTGGCATCAAATGTATAATGATTTTATTGATAGGTTTATGGTTACCTACTAAGACTTGGCTATGTTGTCTGTCGACATCAACAGAGGTTTGGATATTGATTTATATCATAATTTCAATATTGCTGAAAGTTAAAACATAACAAAAAAACATACTAGTATAAGTTAAATAGTGCAGTTGGGATCGGAAATAATTATGTTTGCTGCATGAATCCAGAAGTATGACGGTCTTTATCACTATGTAGACTATCTGCTGATTTTAAGAAACCTCTACAAACGTTGGACTTTAGACAATCAGCTCAACAGAGCCATGATCTTGAATGTGATCATGCATCATGTAGCAGTGCAACTTTGGTTCAACCAAGAGATGCCAAAACAACTGGTAAGTCTATAATAATATTCATCATCATCATTTTCATCATCATTGTTTGATTTTTAGAATCAGCTTTTGTTCCTTACTTTGTTTATTCTTCAGCATCAGTCTTGTCAAAACTGCAGGTTATAAAGACACATAGAATGGACACAGTTGTTCCTCCCTCWAAAGGATCATATTACAACATAGACTTTGATGTTTATCTTCCTGGGGCTCACTTCAAGAAATCAGACCCAGGGAAGCCAGCCTTTTGTATTTCAGTGTGCAGGTACTGCAACAGTTTGGTAGATTAAGTATACAGGAACCCTATTTATCTTGGTTATCTGTCAAAAAATTGAAAATTTTCCTTTTGCACCTGAAACTATTACATGTATTAGTTGTTATTAGAATTTTTTCAAATATCATTAATTATTTTTGTTGTAGATATTCAGATCCTCCTCCCTCTCTTGCTGTACTTAACAACTTGGCTCAGCAGTGTCATCCAGTACCACTAAAGTTTGCTTTAACCGATAATGGTACTATCACTATAAACAGCTTATTAGATGTTGAATTACCTGTGTATGTAACAAATGAATGAGAACAATTTCATGAATAAAGATGTTATACACTGTTAACTGTGGATATCCCAATCCCCTTCCACCTCTTTTCTGATATAATCTTTCTTCATCGGTGTCCAAGAAAATTATTAATTGGATTATGATCATAAGTACATAACAATTTTTTTCATGTACTTCTGATTATAATGTCAAATACTTTTGGGTTCCCTGTGGAAAACTATTACTTTAAGGTCAGCGGTCAAATTTCAAAATACAAAATGGCGGCAACTTATCAGGTATATGCGAACTTTTGATTTAGMTTTGTATTGGTCTAGTTAACATTTTTTATTTGACTTTTAAGGAACGCATTTTAGCTGAAAGAAAGCGAATTCACACGTATGTTTTCGACGTTGCGTTTTCTCCATGTGGTAATTTTTTTGCAGCTTGTAACAACTTTGGTAACATCGCAGTGTTCAGGTAATCCCGGTTCTCTTTTTGCWTGTGTATTTTCAAGTCATGTGTGCATTAATCAATKCCTAAACTAGTATTTATTGCTTAAAGTTTGTCCTCAGCACTTGCTCCAGATGCAGACTCGCAAAGTAGAAAACCTTTGTTCACCTTTCAAGGTAATTAAGCTTGCCATATCAGCTCACTTTTTATTCAAATGTACATATAAATATTCACAATTCATTGGTTGTGAACATGATACTGTTTTGATACCTCTCATTTGTACTAAATCAAAGTGTAAACTAAAAAATGAAATATCATTGCAGCTCAGAGTGGACCAATCTACACACTCTTATCCACAAACACATTTCTTATCAGGTATATTATACTTCCTCGTAGTAAATAGCATACAATAAAATATTATATAAATGAACCTGGTTAAGTTCAATTTGTGTTTTTACACATTTTTACATTTAAACTTTAGTGGGGGATCATCAGATATCAATGGATGGCGCTGGGATGATATTCTAGAAATGGTAATAGACTATTATACCATATGCATTGGGTTATAGATTTCAGTGCTGCACTAGTATTACTTAAGCTTACAACATTTTGTCTATATAGTCAACTGGGTCATCATGGATACTGACTCCTCCATCAAGGTATAGTAAAACATGCTAAAACAATCAATAATAATAATAATAATTTATTTTGAATTACTTGGCATTTCAGCAGTCCTACAAAGTTTACCAAGAATAAACCTGATAGATTTATCATTGCATTCGTCCCTTGTCATATTTGTCTATCATTAACACAGGCAGCCCACCCATCTGCATTTTTACTGTGTGTATGTTTAGTCATCTACTTCTCAATTTTTGTAATAGTTCAGCAGATGCACCTGAAACCAATTCTCTTGTTTATGACAAGGAGGTATGTTATTTGAAGAAGCTGCTAGAGTACAAA